GGGTGTTACTCCCAGAGAAGGCTGAGCTGTGATTGGCTACTGTGTCGTAACAACACGTAACCTGGTGATTCGTCGCTGGGGTATCTCACCGCTACAAGCACAGATGGATATAAGCAACTTGTACAAGCACAGCTGGATATATACACAGGAGACATCTCCCGTCACGCAGGGTGCAGTTGCGCCTCCACAGATCTCCAGTATCATCTATTGATACTGGTAATGGCTCAAAAGGGCCACCACTTACGGGCTATTCATGCCCGTGCCACCTCTTCGGTGGCTTAATCTTCATCAATCAATCACAGTTGGATAAATATAGCTTCTACAAGAAGGTGGAAATTATGCGCCTTCGCCTCTGGGTCACCGCTAAGACGATCGCTGTGAAGCTCGTATCGTAGCGCTGCGATACGTATCATCGTAGGGCGCTGCGATACGTATCATTGTAGAGCGCTGCGATACGTATCATCGTAGGGCGCTGCGATACGTATCATCGTAGAGCGCTGCGATACGTATCATCGTAGGGCGCTGCGATACGTATCATCGTAGAGCGCTGCGATACGTATCACCGTAGAGCGCTACGATACGCATCATCGTAGAGCGCTGCGATACGTATCACCGTAGAGCGCTACGACACGCATCATCGTAGAGCGCTGCGATACGTATCACCGTAGAGCGCTACGATACGCATCATCGTAGAGCGCTACGACACGCATCATCGTAGAGTGCTACGACACGCATCACCGTAGAGCGCTACGACACGCATCACCGTAGAGCGCTGCGACACGCATCACCGTAGAGCGCTACGACACGCATCACCGTAGAGCGCTACGACACGCATCACCGTAGAGCGCTACGACACGCACCACCGTAGAGCGCTGCGATACGCACCACCGTAGAGCGCTACGATACTATACGAGACGCCGTAGTGAATCGCTCGCTGGGATCACTACGTACGGTGGCGTTGACATCTCCGTCCTCCCGCTCCCTTGTGTAGTGAGGCTCGTGTTGCTGACCCCTGCTCCCTCACGTCCCAACAGGAACGGTTGTGCACTGACACTGATCTGCCCACATCAGGGGGATATACGAGGGGTCGCAGCAGTATCTGCCCACATCAGGGGGATACACTAGGGGTCGCAGCAGTATCTGCCCACATCAGGGGGATACACTAGGGGGTCGCAGCAGTATCTGCCCACATCAGGGGGATACACTAGGGGTCGCAGCAGTATCTGTCCACATCAGGGGGATACACTAGGGGTCGCAGCAGTATCTGCCCACATCAGGGGGATACACTAGGGGTCGCAGCAGTATCTGCCCACATCAGGGGGATACACTAGGGGTCGCAGCAGTATCTGCCCACATCAGGGGATACACTAGGGGTCGCAGCAGTATCTGCCCACATCAGGGGGATACACTGGGGGTCGCAGCAGTATCTGCCCACATCAGGGGGATACACTAGGGGTCGCAGCAGTATCTGCCCACATCAGGGGGATACACTAGGGGTCGCAGCAGTATCTGCCCACATCAGGGGGATACACTAAGGGTCGCAGCAGTATCTGCCCACATCAGGGGGATACACTAGGGGTCGCAGCAGTATCTGCCCACATCAGGGGGATACACTAGGGGTCGTCGCAGCAGTATCTGCCCACATCAGGGGGATACACTAGGGGTCGCAGCAGTATCTGCCCACATCAGGGGGATACACTAAGGGTCGCAGCAGTATCTGCCCACATCAGGGGGATACACTAGGGGTCGTCGCAGCAGTATCTGCCCACATCAGGGGGATACACTAGGGGTCGCAGCAGTATCTGCCCACATCAGGGGGATACACTAAGGGTCGCAGCAGTATCTGCCCACATCAGGGGGATACACTAGGGGTCGCAGCAGTATCTGCCCACATCAGGGGATACACTAGGGGTCGCAGCAGTATCTGCCCACATCAGGTGGATACACTAGGGGTCGCAGCAGTATCTGCCCACATCAGGGGGATACACTAGGGGTCGCAGCAGTATCTGCCCACATCAGGGGGATACACTAGGGGGTCGCAGCAGTATCTGCCCACATCAGGGGGATACACTAGGGGTCGCAGCAGTATCTGCCCACATCAGGGGGATACACTAGGGGTCGCAGCAGCATCTGCCCACATCAGGGGGATACACTAGGGGTCGCAGCAGTATCTGCCCACATCAGGGGGATACACTAGGGGTCGCAGCAGTATCTGCCCACATCAGGGGGATACACTAGGGGTCGCAGCAGTATCTGCCCACATCAGGGGGATACACTGGGGGTCGCAGCAGTATCTGCCCACATCAGGGGGATACACTAGGGGTCGCAGCAGTATTTGCCCACATCAGGGGGATACACTAGGGGTCGCAGCAGTATCTGCCCACATCAGGGGGATACACTAGGGGTCGCAGCAGTATCTGCCCACATCAGGGGGATACACGAGGGGTCGCAGCAGTATCTGCCCACATCAGGGGGATACACTAGGGGTCGCAGCAGTATCTGCCCACATCAGGGGCATACACTAGGGGTCGCAGCAGTGTCTGCCCACATCAGGGGGATACACTAGGGGTCGCAGCAGTATCTGCCCACATCAGGGGGATACACTAGGGGTCGCAGCAGTATCTGCCCACATCAGGGGGATACACTAGGGTCGTCGCAGCAGTATCTGCCCACATCAGGGGGATACACTAGGGGTCGTCGCAGCAGTATCTGCCCACATCAGGGGGATACACTAGGGGTCGCAGCAGTATCTGCCCACATCAGGGGGATACACTAGGGGTCGCAGCAGTATCTGCCCACATCAGGGGGATACACTAGGGGTCGCAGCAGTATCTGCCCACATCAGGGGGATACACTAGGGGTCGCAGCAGTATCTGCCCACATCAGGGGGATACACTAGGGTCGTCGCAGCAGTATCTGCCCACATCAGGGGGATACACTAGGGGTCGCAGCAGTATCTGCCCACATCAGGGGGATACACTAGGGGTCGCAGCAGTATCTGCCCACATCAGGGGGATACACTAGGGGTCGCAGCAGTATCTGCCCACATCAGGGGGATACACTAGGGGTCGCAGCAGTATCTGCCCACATCAGGGGGATACACTAGGGGTCGCAGCAGTATCTGCCCACATCAGGGGGATACACTAGGGGTCGCAGCAGTATCTGCCCACATCAGGGGGATACACTAGGGGGTCGCAGCAGTATCTGCCCACATCAGGGGATACACTAGGGGTCGCAGCAGTATCTGCCCACATCAGGGGGATACACTAGGGGTCGCAGCAGTATCTGCCCACATCAGGGGGATACACTAGGGGTCGCAGCAGTATCTGCCCACATCAGGGGGATACACTAGGGGGTCGCAGCAGTATCTGCCCACATCAGGGGGATACACGAGGGGTCGCAGCAGTATCTGCCCACATCAGGGGGATACACGAGGGGTCGTAGCAGTATCTGCCCACATCAGGGGGATACACGAGGGGTCGCAGCAGTATCTGTCCACATCAGGGGGATACACTAGGGGTCGCAGCAGTATCTGCCCACATCAGGGGCAACACCCGGGTGATGGGGCATCACCAGGGGCCGCCCGAACACCCTGGTATTAGCGGCTGTTATCATAACTCATCAATGTTATCAACTCACACTCTGAAGCTCCCAGCTAATTCTTGGTCTTGGCTTGGTCCTCCAGCTGCTCTGTAGAGCCTCGGCTCTATTTCTGGTCTATAGAGTCCAGAGCTTATGCTTTTTTAATGCTGTAAAGAGTCCAGAGTTTGGACTCTTTAATACTGATTTGTCAATGCTTCAGTTGTGATTCTTTGACTGGTTTATAGATCAAAGAGCTGTAGCTCTATTTCTGCTTCATAGAGTCCAGACATTTTGATATAATTTGTTCTATATAGAGACTAGGGCTTCGGCTCTATTACAACGCTCTAAGTCCAGATCTTCGGCGGCATAATAACACCAGCCAACCACAGGGGGGGGGGGGGCCTGACGGCTGAGTGGACAGCACTCGGGATTCGTAATCCTGAGGTTTCGGGTTCGATCCCCGGTGGAGGCGGAAACATATGAGTTTCTTTCACCCTATTGCTGCTCTATTGTTACTACCGTTTAGAGTCCATAACTTCTGCTCTATTACTGCTGATGTGTTTAATAGAGCTCTCACCCTGTCCAAGGAGGACAGAAGAAAATGTAAATATGTTGGTTAGCATTGTAAATGTCCGGCCACGTCTGTGGTAGAAAATAATCATATATAAAACACAACTGCTTTATAGAATGTGGGGGGAGAGGGGGGGGGGGCTTAATTACTGTTTTATAGAGTCCCGAACTTCGACTCTATTACTTCTTTATAGAGTCCAGAAGTGCAGTTCTATTACTGCTTCAAGTAGCCCAAACGTGCGGCTCTAATCCTGCTCATAGAGTCAACATCTGTGACTCTAATACGGCTTTATAGAGTCCAGAGTTTCGGCTCTATTACTCTATATAAAAAAGTCAAGATCCGGCAAGGAACTATAAATAGAGGCTGACGCAGCTGGCTTGGTGTCCACAGCTGGTCACCTTCGCTCGTCCATCTGTATGTCATGTTCTCAAGGAATGTCGGCCTTGCGAGGCGTTGACCCTCTGGCCGTCACTGTGCAAGCTTCTCAGACACTTCGCTACGAAGGTGTTACTTGAGCACGATTAATTGTGCTCAACTAGAATCGGTGTTAATCCTGTTATCATCGGTAAATTTAATACTGATTTTAGTGGCTATCGTGGAATGTGAGAATTGGTTCATATAGCGATGATTTTCGTTATTAATGGGGGATGAAGTGGGGGTAATTAGAAGATAGGAGCCAATCAGAGGCACTCCTGGTTCAGCCTTGACGGCTTGCCCGGGTCTTGACACCTGCTCTGCCTGCAGGCAGACTGCTGGACGGACAATTTGAGAAGCATTTTGACCAGCTGGACTCCACACCGCCGCCAGCTGTCCATCTCCAACCAGCTGGACTCTACACCGCCGCCAGATGTCCATCTCCAACCAGCTGGACTCCACACCGCCGCCAGCTGTCCATCTCCAACCAGCTGGACTCCACACCGCCGCCAGCTGTCCATCTCCAACCAGCTGGACTCCACACCGCCGCCAGCTGTCCATCTCCAACCAGCTGGACTCCACACCGCCGCCAGGTGTCCATCTCCAACCAGCTGGACTCCACACCGCCGCCAGCTGTCCATCTCCAACCAGCTGGACTCCACACCGCCGCCAGCTGTCCATCTCCAACCAGCTGGACTCCACACCGCCGCCAGCTGTCCATCTCCAACCAGCTGGACTCTACACCGCCGCCAGCTGTCCATCTCCAACCAGCTGGACTCCACACCGCCGCCAGCTGTCCATCTCCAACCAGCTGGACTCCACACCGCCGCCAGCTGTCCATCTCCAACCAGCTGGACTCCACACCGCCGCCAGCTGTCCATCTCCAACCAGCTGGACTCCACACCGCCGCCAGCTGTCCATCTCCAACCAGCTGGACTCCACACCGCCGCCAGCTGTCCATCTCCAACCAGCTGGACTCCACACCGCCGCCAGCTGTCCATCTCCAACGAACCAGATTGATTAGACGTCTTGACGCACTTACCGCCCGGGATCACAGGGCTCGGAGAGAGATTTTCATTTTTCCAGTTGGATCTTCGGGCGCCAGTGTGATTGATGGATAGTTGACGGGTCTTGGTGTGGGTGTGTGGTGGGCATCATGCCCATGCCCAACTGGCCGCGGGTTTCAGAGGGGCTGTTACGAGCTCGTAATTAGGTTACGATCTTGCTGCTTGATTCGGCGTTAGGTCGACGCTGGACGCCTCTATAGTGTGGCGTCGACTGGCGTCTTCCAGTGTGATAAGAGAACTCAATAAGATATAAAGTTAATATATTTCGATATAAAGCTTTCCGTAAAAAAATTAAATATATATAAAGGATTCGATCAGGTCTAAACGATCAGGTCTAAACGATCAGGTCTAAACGATCAGGTCTAAACGATCAGGTCTAAACGATCAGGTCTAAACGATCAGGTCTGGGCCTTTGTGACAACTTCTGCCGCTGTCGTGATGTTAAATTGTTTTTCTAAGATTAGAAAATCAACTTTTAGAACCGTGTTCTGTACAGTAGAGACGGGATTGATTCTCACCTGTCTACACCTGTCATTGTCGAGGCATTGCTGGTGGACGGGTCATGGACGGTAATGATGATGTCATTATACAGATCAAGACACATGTTACTCAACTAATGATACATTATAGACCAACTTACACGTGTCCTCAATTAAGCAAATGACACATATACAGCACACATAAAGTCTAAATTTAACATAATACCAAATTACTAACAACAAAAACACTTTTAAGAATATATTTTATTTTCAAGACTATCAACATTCCTGGAGCCTTTGATTACCCAGAGAATAACGTTGCTTAGACGGCTGTTTTAACCTTTATACAACCTTCATACGACCACTGTACAACGTTTGAACAACCTTTACACAACCTTTGTGCAACTTTCATACAACCTTCATACAACCATTGTACAACTTTTGATCAACGTTTACACAACTTTTATACAACCATTGTACAACTTTTGAATAACCTTTGCACAACCTTCATACAACCATTGTACAACCTTTACACAACCTTTATACAACCTTTGTGCAACCTTTATACAACCTTTGTGCAACCTTCATACAACCATTGTACAACTTTTGAACAACCTTTCCACAACCTTTGTACAACTTTTGTGCAACTATTATACAACCATTATACGACCATTACACAACCATTGGGCAATTTAATGGCGGACCATTGGGCCTGCAAATTGGACAATAATATAAACGTTAGGGCTTCTGGAGAACCGGTTTCCTTCGACATGGTTGGGAAGCCATCAACCGGAGATCTATCTTGAGGTTATCTTGAGATGATTTCGGGGCTTTAGTGTCCCTGCGGCCCGGTCCTCGACCAGGCCTTCACCCCCAGGAAGCAGCCCGTGACAGCTGACTAACACCCAGGTACCTATTTACTGCTAGGTAACAGGGGCATTCAGGGTGAAAGAAACTTTGCCCATCTGTTTCTGCCTCGTGCGGGAATCGAACCCGCGCCACAGAATTACGAGTCCTGCGCGCTATCCACCAGGCTACGAGACCCCCAGATGAACAGATGAAGAACAATGTTCCTCCAAGGATCACTATAATGTCTTAATGACCTCCCAGGAGTGGAGGAGCCAATATAACTGTGGATAATTAGTGACTAATGACCCGGACCTAACCGCTGCCGGTTTAACCAAGTGGTTAGACCATGTTTACACTCAGGAGTTGTCAAGAACATCTTTGTTACCTAAAAGTTAAGTCAGGGGCCTCGTTAGCATGACTGTTAACGAGAGGTAGTGACATGCTCAAGGCCTCGTTAGCATGACTGTTAACGAGGGGTAGTAACATGCTCAAGGCCTCGTTAGCATGACTACAGCAGGTCATCACAGGTGATGACCTCATCAAGGTGAGGTCACCTTGAGGTCATCACAGGTGATGACCTCATTAAGGTGAGGTCACCTTGAGGCCATCTCAGGTGATGATCTCATCAAGGTGAGGTCACCTTGAGGCCATCTCAGGTGATGACCTCATCAAGGTGAGGTCACCTTGAGGCCATCTCAGGTGATGACCTCATCAAGGTGAGGTCACATTGAGGTCATCACAGGTGATGACCTCATCAAGGTGAGGTCACCTTGAGGCCATCTCAGGTGATGATCTCATCAAGGTGAGGTCACCTTGAGGCCATCTCAGGTGATGACCTCATCAAGGTGAGGTCACCTTGAGGCCATCTCAGGTGATGATCTCATCAAGGTGAGGTCACCTAGAGGTCATCACAGGTGACTGAACAGTAGACAGAACAGGTGAAACTCCGTCCACAGGACAGGAAACAATTTTCCCCGTCCCTAAAAAGCCCCGTAACAGCACCAATAAAAGTCTCAGGAGAGACAGAGAGCAAAATGTCTGAAGCAAATGAGAAAAAAAAGACCCATTGTCCTATGGAAAAGCCCGAGCTAAATGCAGTTTATTATTTGGATCTTGTTTAAAGCTGCTGAAACCTTTTTTGTTGACAATAAAGTGATTTGCATAAGAACTGAGGCAGTCTTTGTGCTTTGCTTGTCTTCCATGGACCCGGGACCATGGTATAGTGGTCCAGCAGCTGTGAGAGGCAGGGCTGGACCATGGTATAGTGGTCCAGCAGCTGTGAGAGGCAGGGGGGGCACCCAGGACCATGGTATAGTGGTCCAGCAGCTGTGAGAGGCAGGGGGGCACCCAGGACCATGGTATAGTGGTCCAGCAGCTGTGAGAGGCAGGGGGGGTCACCCAGGACCATGGTATAGTGGTCCAGCAGCTGTGAGAGGCAGGGGGGGGTCACCCGGGACCATATTATAGTGGTCCAGCAGCTGTAAGAGGCAGGAGGGTCACCCATGGCCATATTATAGTGGTCCAGCAGCTGTGAGAGGCAGGGGGGGCACCCAGGACCATGGTATAGTGGTCCAGCAGCTGTGAGAGGCAGGGGTGTCACCCGGGACCATGGTATAGTGGTCCAGCAGCTGTGAGAGGCAGGGGGACACCCAGGACCATGGTATAGTGGTCCAGCAGCTGTGAGAGGCAGGGGGGCACCCAGGACCATGGTATAGTGGTCCAGCAGCTGTGAGAGGCAGGAGTGGTCACCCATGGCCATATTATAGTGGTCCAGCAGCTGTGAGAGGCACAGGGGTCACCCAGGACCATGGTATAGTGGTCCAGCAGCTGTGAGAGGCAGGAGTGGTCACCCATGGCCATATTATAGTGGTCCAGCAGCTGTGAGAGGCACAGGGGTCACCCTGGACCATATTATAGTGGTCCAGCAGCTGTGAGAGGCAGGGGGGGTCACCCAGGACCATGGTATAGTGGTCCAGCAGCTGTGAGAGGCAGCGGGGTCACCCAGGACCATGGTATAGTGGTCCAGCAGCTGTGAGAGGCAGGGGTGTCACCCGGGACCATGGTATAGTGGTCCAGCAGCTGTGAGAGGCAGCGGGGTCACCCAGGACCATGGTATAGTGGTCCAGCAGCTGTGAGAGGCAGGGGTGTCACCCGGGACCATGGTATAGTGGTCCAGCAGCTGTGAGAGGCAGGGGGGGGTCACCCAGGACCATGGTATAGTGGTCCAGCAGCTGTGAGAGGCAGGGGACACCCAGGACCATGGTATTGTGGTCCAGCAGCTGTGAGAGGCAGGGAGGGTTACCCTGGACCATGGTATAGTGGTCCAGCAGCTGTGAGAGGCAGGGGGGGGTCACCCGGGACCATATTATAGTGGTCCAGCAGCTGTGAGAGGCAGGAGGGTCACCCAGGACCATATTATAGTGGTCCAGCAGCTGTGAGAGGCAGGGTCACCCAGGACCATATTATAGTGGTCCAGCAGCTGTGAGAGGCAGGGGGGATCACCCTGGACCATATTATAGTGGCCCAGCAGCTGTGAGAGGCAGGGTCACCCAGGACCATATTATAGTGGTCCAGCAGCTGTGAGAGGCAGGGGGGGGATCACCCTGGACCATATTATAGTGGCCCAGCAGCTGAGAGAGGCAGGGTCACCCAGGACCATATTATAGTGGTCCAGCAGCTGTGAGAGGCAGGGGGGGGGATCACCCTGGACCATGATATAGTAGTCCAGCAGCTGTGAGAGGCAGGGGGACACCCAGGACCATATTATAGTGGCCCAGCAGCTGTGAGAGGCAGGGGGACACCCAGGACCATATTATAGTGGTCCAGCTATATATATATATTAGTGGGCTTTTGCAATTGTTTCTAAATATAAATGAGTGTGTGTGTGACCCAGGAGGTCAATGGCTTGTGTTAAGAAACAGGAAGGGAGGCAGTACTGACCCTGGCGGCACCCAGTTCTCTCACGCTACTCTAAATTCTCCTCTGACCTCTTCCTCAGCCCGCGGCGGCCATCTTGCGGTGCGCACCGGATGTGCGCACTGAAGCGTCCCGCCAAAACGTGACGTCACTTCCTGCTACCAAGTCGCCGCCATCTTGGAACTTTCTTCACAACCTGCCACTGTGTCTGCTCATATATGACGTTTATCACACATTATCAACTTCATCATTAAATGATTTCTTCCCACTTTTAATGCCTTGCCTGGATTTTACCTGGAGAGGGTTTTGTGAGTTGTTCTACTCCCCGAGTCCAGTCTTGAGGCGATTTATATGTATTTTACAAACAGGAATTGTAAAATTTTATTTTTGTAAAATTTTTGTAAAAAGTTTGTAAAATTGATTATTGCTTATTGAGGTCCTCATTGGCAAACTACCGACCTTTTGCAAGGAAGCTAACTATCAGGGGAAAGCGCCAAGCCATTACGACTATATAGCACTGGGAAGGGGTCAGGATAAGGATTAGGGATGGGACGGCGGGAAAGGAATGGTGCCCAACCACTTGTATGGACGGTCGGGGATTGAACGCCGACCTGCATGAAGCGAGACCGTCGCTCTACCGTCCACCCCAAATGGCAGCATGTAACCCACAATAGATAACCAACTTCTGGATACCTATTTTATCCCCAAGTGAA